TATATATATATGTGTGTACAAAAGCTGTTAGTGGTCCACCTGCAGGGAACACGATACCGATAGAGGATTGGACACCTGAAAAGAATACGGTGCCTGGGGAGAACATCGCGTATGTGAAGACTGCAACTCCTGTTGGAAATGAAATACTCGTAAAAAACATGGTTTCAGTAAAAAGTAGGACACCTTGTAAGCATACGAAGTTTGTAGAAAAGGCCACATCTCCGGGAACGCGTGCAGATATTAATGTACCTTCGAAGAAAACATCTCCAATAAAAAATTCAACTCCAGTGGAAGCCGCAGCACCTGCGCCGTCTGTTAGCGCTGCTGTGATCGATATAAACAGCAGCCCTATAAATGCGCAGTCAATTCCTCGAAATGCTGTGATCCCTACCCGAAGAGCCACCAACATAACGTTACCTTCAAAACCCCTTCAAAATAAGCTCAAAGTTACCTCATTTGGTTCATCGTCGTCTCCTTTGAAATCAGCAGAGAGCGTTATACCCAAAAATGACGAGGTTAGTTATAAACGAAAAATCTGCAGTTGATCGAAATATTGGTGTCAGATAAATAGCAATGGTATTATTAATAATAACACAATTATATTTTTCCCTATAATCTAACCTATGGTAGTTGTTAACAGCTCGAGTTCGGTTAACCTCATATTATTTATATTCATTTTGCATAGCCGGATCACAGCCATCATATAGTCGAAGCTGTAGTTCGTAGCCTAGTGAATGCGGTGCTGGTCGAAGAGGAAGAACGGTTGGCCCGAGAACGAGGCGTATATTCAACGCGGAATCCGTTCGCCTCTACAGAATTGCAAAGATACCTCAAAGGCAACCGAAACCTCAAGGTAAAATGTGTAGCCTTGGCCGAAACTTATTTTAAAACAGAAATACTGATCGGCAAGGATACTGCATTTATACTTTATTTATAAAGTAAAGGTGAAGTTTATATATATAAACTTCACCATAATTCACTTTTTTATAATTATAGGAAATTATATGGTACATATAACAAAAATGCAAATACCGATTTGTATTTGAGCTTCCAGACTTTAGATATTATTTCAAATTAGTTATTAGGGGAGCTAAACGTGGGTCAAGTTAGTTTAATTTATAAATCACGTAGCTGAAATATCTAATCTAACATGTGTCAACATGGCCACAACTTCTTTATGCCCAAATAGATGACTTTTCTGGGCTTAGTGGCGCCGAACCTCGACGCAGCGATTTCTCCTAAAAGGGCTGTAGTATCAGTACTTGGTACGGAAACTGTCCTGCTAAAGACCGTTCTGGCTAGCAGTCCCTCAGCAACAAAGGGTGCGCTTACTTCAGATTTACCTGCCCTTACAAGCAGCGATTCCGCGAATCCAAGCTGTTCAACGACACTGTCTTCGCACACGTGCTCTGCGAAACAGACAAAGCCTCGAAAGCCGAAAGCCATTAAAGCGATCGTTGACGGTTCATCAAACACAGAGGGTGCTTCAACGTGCCCCGCCGTTTCTCCTATTACTAGAAACCTAACGACCTCATCTGTGCCAGCTGTTGCCGAAAAGGCAAAATCTCAAAAAAGGAAGACCTTAAAATCCATCGCTGACAAACCACCAGTTATAGAAGGTAAAAAAGGAACTGCCGTTATAGGTTCAGGTTCCACAAGCAGCGCTCCTTCAATCACTAACCCCAGAGCAGCACTGTCATTTATTCCGGCTTCTGCTGTTACTGACAAAGCGAATTTCCAGAAACAGAATGTTTTGAAACCCCAGCTTGTCCCTCCTCTTAGGCTTAAGATACCCCCGTCTTGCGTAAAACTACCTACTTCTTTTGGAGATTCCGAACGAACCTGTAATTCGGAGGCAGCAACGTCCATAGAAGCCGCCCCCGAGGGTTTATGTCAACATTCGTCTGTCAAGAATAACTTTCCGCACGCATACAAGCTGGTTGACCACTCTAACGACCTTGAGTACGTATTAGCGTTCACTATTTGTATCAAAAATGCTGTACAGTAGAGCAGGTATTTTCAGCTTAATACCGATGAGGTCACATTACGCAAGTGCTAAGACGTTGTGACTTTATTGGAACTACAGACATTAAGATTTACAATTTTTTGAAATAATTATATCATTGTCTATTTACGGCGGCACACGGAACATAAGACGTTGGCCGCACCTGTTCATGAAATATAATACTAATCTAATTAATATATTTCCCAATTCCAATACACAGATTCATGCAAGCATTAGAATTATCCCGAATGCTAGTAGTGCCTGTTACGCTTCATTGATATTTTTATGTTGCTGTTAAAAACGCATGAAATTAGATACGGTGATAATGAGCCTCGCCAGCGATCTATGATGCATCGAGTGAAGACTACTCCAATCTGTGGTACGGCCATTTCGGACAATGTAGTAGGAACATCGCAAAATCCTAAAGCGCCCGACGAGGAGCTGGTGCCTGTCGTTCTTCACACAAGTGATGCACGGAAGTCTAAGTCATGGGACGATGAAAAGGCCTCGCGTCTTCTTCGTCAATCTCTACTTGTCATTGAAAGGGGTTCACGAATAGCGGTGACGAAGTACCAACAGGATTTCGCAAGTCTCTCGTTAACGCTTAACTCAATTCTATATGCGGCCTCGGCAGTTGTAACGTCGGATGAAATCGTTCGGCAGAGTGAACATCGACGAACGCAGCTTCTAAATACGATTGCTGCCGTTGCTAATGAGGATCATGGAAATAGAGACAACATCAACAACCTGCAGCGGAAAAAGAGATTGCTACCTGATGCAGTGCTGTCGGAGAAGCAGTCTCCATCGGAGCCTGTCCTTAAGTGGCCCAAAGTCCTCGGCGGTAACGATTCGAGTGACTCGATTACGAAAGTACAAGAACAACAAACGGCTATACTACAAAACAATAAGGTAGCATTTTATTTCCACATAAAATTATGATTAAATATATTTTTTTAATAGATAGAGCTAGTCGTTTTTTTTAGAGTTGTGTAGGTTAGTTTATTCTTTTCCTTGTACAAAATATTCATTATACTATATATTAGTTTATTTTAATTTTAATTATCTCCATGTCCATCCTACATTTTTTCCTTGTAGACTGTCAGCAAAACCGGTCTGCCGTTATCGCCACATTCATTGTCTTCATCCTTAGCAACTTCGAATATGACGCGTCGAGGTCGAACTGTCAAACGCAACTCGCGCTTAGCTGACTATCTGGTTGGGGAGTGCATCATGAAAAAATATGAGGCCGAGGCCGAGCAACGGGCCCGTGCACGAAATCGTCAAGTCGAAATGGAGTATGCGCGACAGTGGCACCAATTAAGAAGTCAGCTCACAATGGCGCCAACGCTACATAGTGACAATAGGACTCAACAAAAACGAATGGCGAGTGGTTACGGCATTAAGGACACAGAGCTGCCTCTGGTTCCTGGTGAAAGCGAAGGGCATGCCTTAGCCGAAGGTATTGGATCCTTCACTTTGTATGATGGTGACCGTAGCGACGCTGATGATGAAATCACTAAAAACCGATTCGATAAAGATATCGGTCGTGCACCAGAACAAGTCCTTCTGCCGCAGAAGGGGACTGACCAATACCGGGAGGACGCTGGGAGCCGTGTGGGGGAGTTCAATGACGAAGCAACCGCTGTAAACAGTAGCAGTGAAAATTACGGAAAAACCATCGCACCTGTGAGGTTCCCTGTAAACACTTTCCTGCTGAAATTGAAATCACGAAATATGAGTAGGTCGAAATCTGCCAGCCTCGATATATCGGAAAAAGCAAATGTGGGGTTGCCTGAACAAATGAGGCGCCAAACAGCCCCTTGGCAACAAAAACTTGTTGCCGGGAAACAGATAGCTAATTGTCAACGAATGCATGAAATTATTCTCGACGGGGGGACCGGTCCGGACTTGCCCAGGGACATTAAGAATAGTAAAGTGATCATTCATCCGGATGTGGTAGGTATGGTACAGTGTGACTTGTAACTAACATATGACGTACTTAATAGAATTCGCGTTTTGAGCACGTTCGTTGCTAACAGCAGATTGGAACCTCGCTTTGTGCGAGTAGTTGAAGCTAGTATGGTTTATTTAGCTGGGTAAGTCTACGCGTCTGAATGTAGACAACCCTTGTAGGTAATTCAGCGGTTTGTTTACGTGTTTTTTTTCTATCTCTTTATTTAGAATGATGTAACCGCTGAAGAAATAAAGGCCCTTGAAGAGCTTAACAATCTTCTGTACAACAAACCTGGCGTTGTAGGAGCTGAAGAACTCCTACATGACTTCCGGAAATCGTTCTGCATTGAGGTGCGCAACCAGATCCAATTATTGCGCTATAAAAAGCTGCTTATGTGGAAAAACCAACGTCTGAAGCTGGTAAGTACATTGCATCTTTCGGATATACTATCGCTAACCTGATCTAAACTCGTTTATGTACGTACTATCGTTGTTGTACTAGCTACACTATTCCGAGCATGAAAATTATTATCCAAATCGAGTAAACTAGATTGCTACATAAACTGCTTTATTTCGCAAATTACGCGATATCCGATGGTCAAACGATGGCTGTTGCAAGGTGAATTCTATGGATAAGCAGACCGTGAGGAGAAATTATCAATCAGAGGGGTCCAGAAATGTAGCAGGCCATTGATAGACGAAAAAGTCAACTGACCGATATAACATATGACAGGGCTGTACGATGTACGAGAATTATACCAAAGCTTAAAGATGTCGTCTCAGAATGAGCTGTGCTATTTCGACATTTTGTCACGAAGATGACAACACCGGTAAAAGTTCGGGGGAAAAGCGATAGCAAGGATACTGGAACGAATGCAAGAAAGAACGGATGTTTAACCAGACTTGTGCGTATTCGTGCGGGAACAGGACGACGAATACAAAGCACATTTGCATGTAAATGTACGTATAGCAAAAAATTTCTTGTGCAGGTTAATTCATATATGTGTATACGATGCCAGCAATACGTTGGAACTACTTTGGCGGGCATTGTCGTATTGTGTATGCTTCTATCTTCTTTTTGTCATAGAGGAAAAGTGTTTATTCGAGAGAGAAACTACAAACTCATCATGGTAGAGATAAGAGGAATCTCTTGTCCTAACGGAAGACGAGCCTATTCGGCGATGTAATTAGTTATTCAGTCATCCTAGACAACGTAAACCTTGACAAGTTAGCGAAGCTGATTTAGCTTTAATAGCAAAAGTCAAAGAGCTTGGGGTCAAAACACACATAAAGCATTACATACATTATTATGAAACGTCCTCAATAGATTTCGCAGATGGCTTACATTAAGTTATGGGTAAATTTGGAGCGCCGAAGGAAGAGTATGAAATTCGCAAATTTACTATAAAAAATATTGTTTAGGATTCCAGAAAGATGTTAAGTAATATTGGAGTCGGTATCATCTGGTAGATAGACAAATATTTTAGGACAATATTTTTTCAATTAGTACAACACAATCGCTAACAGGGCGGTAACGTGTAATGATCGTTTGGCTCGCAAATGTACCCTAATTTCTAATTAATTACTTTTTTTTTGTTATTTAGATCAATGTGTCTGAGACAGGAAAGTAGTCGCATATTCTTATATTTTTACACAAACGTTTTAGAAATATTTTCTTTAGGGTTCGTTTCATGTGTGTGTAATCATAACAATGATCGTCTTTTTTACTTTACAGAAAAAGGCCGAATTGACAAAACGATCTTTACAAAATTATCGCAAACGTTCGATGCTAATAAGAGCTATTCGTAACACTGTATCAGAAAGTTTTCCCCACCGAGGATTACCTGCTGACCGGTTGCCTGAAGAAATCTACGAGGTTACACTACCCCAAGGCTCACAAGAAATTCATTCAAAGGGATCATCACAGGTGCGAAAGCAGCAGCAGCGGCAACGGCAACAACAGTGCCGACAAAAAAAACTACAAAATCTGCAACCGCTTCAGTCAAAGGAATCTTATTTGGCAGATCCGCCGACGAAGAGACCCAAATCCGTTAATTCGCCGGCTTCACAGAGGACCACTCCTATGCCAAAACCGCGCAGTTCGAATGTTCTGGCGTTGCTACCTGAATCCAATAGTTTTAGTCATCTGAAGATCCTTGCCCCGTCTCAACCTGGCTATGCTTCGGACCCTCAGATATCTTCAAGAGGTTCGTTAAGTTCGGTTCAGTCTCCCCCCATTGTCCCAGCTGTCCCCTGTATAACTAATGCACCCCACGCAAACGTTCGACATGTGATCTTATCACCCCCACAATCGTGTCGGCCACCACCTACACTTATAGTACATCAGCCGTCACCGCGGTTAATTCATCCGGGAACATCGTCACTGAGATTGCCGTCGTCAACGAATCCTGTCGTGCCGATTTCTCCAATCATTCCTGCTGGACAAATTTTCTTGGTAGGTTGCGATCAGTATAGATAGGTGTATGCGATCACACGGCTATGCCATAGCCTCATATGTGAACACGTCAAGCTTAACTGGTTCAACAGCGTTTAACAACATAGTTCGAAGTTATAATAGTTATACCAACTATTTACTAAGCATTAAAGAATTTTGTCGACAATGAAAACAGATGTCGTAGAAAAGTTTCCATTAGTATCTATGCAAATATTACTTCAAATAGCGGGAGTGATCCGGTTGACTCTACAGCATTAAGTTGATTATTGGACGCTATGGATACGGAGCAGTCTGAAAATAAAACAATTATGTTGCATTAGGTGTCGATTATATGCTATTGTAGCTTTATAGGTACTCAGACGTGCTTACTTTGTTTTCATTCATTTCTTTCATTTTTCGATGTTTATAGATGATGTCTCCAGTTGCCAAGCAAGAGCAAACTATCGACGAAGTGGCTGTTGTAGATGTACATAATTCAGATTCTCCGTCGTCTACTTCCATTTCGAACCCTATGAGGGCAGTGGTGACGAAGTCAGTGCTGCCTAGACAGGAGCCTATGTTGGTTAAAGCAGTCGATGCATCGTTTAGTTCAGCACAGCATCCGCGTCTCATCAAGAAATTTCTCCGCATAGGACAAGCAGGCTCTTCCGCCATAACAGCACTCGAGGCTGCGGCTGCTCCTATTGCCACAACTTCTGTAGGTTCTGTATCGATGCCACTGAGCGGCGAGTTCAATCGACCTATTCAACGGGTTCGAGACGTGATCCCTCGCAGGTATAGTCATTTACCGACGCTTCGCGCTCTTTCGCGTTTTCCCAGTAACACAAATGTTACATTCGCTAATCCATTACGCGGCGGCGCTCCGATAATTACGCCAATAAAGCGGCACATTAGCAATTCAACAGTGAACGGCGCCAATCGAACTGACGTAATCGAGACCGTCGGCTTGACGGTTCCTCAGCATACGCAGCTGTCGAAACTTGCGAAATCGCAGAACGCCAGTGATCAAACAAGGTCAGCCACTAGTCCAATAGACATAGCAGGTGGTACGATTGTAGGAAAGCGACGCAGTGATAAGTCTTTCGTTACATTCACTGATCAAAATGGCACAACCGTTGCGACAACTTTATTCGAACTAGATGGTTCCATGAAGACGCTGGCACGTTCGACACCGGCTTCGGCGGACGAGTTGTGTCCACCTTCTATTAACGGAGGCGCTCAGTTAGAGCTGCAGGAGCAACAAAATCGTCAGGAACTAATTGAGTCCACTGTAGTTACCACAGTTTCTGCTTTACGGACTGACACAAGGCATAGGCCAGTTACGTTCGTCCGGAGATATTCACGATCACCTTTGTCTCCGTTCGCTGTACGTACCATATCTCTCCCTAACACTGCCAGGTTGCCGGACTATATACAACTGGTAGCCGCTAACGCAGGGCCAGTAGAAACGACATGTTCCAGTTTGAAGCAAAACATCCTGCGCAATTGTAACGTCACGCCAATCGATTTGGCGGCCGCGAATACAACCCTTTCATCCGCCAGTTTAGGTAGTGAAACGAACGCGAATGCGCGCGAAAAGGACGAAACTTTGACTGGAATCTAAGAGAGAGAGAGAGTACACCACAATGAGCGGAAGATGTTAACAGTCAGGAAAGTTAAAGGTTTGTAATGGTCGTAAAAATGATCTCTCTCCATGTTATTGTCGCTATTGCGTCACGACCAAGTAGTCTTTGAAGAAGTTTTCGCGAACGAACTTCGTATAGTGTGTGTGTGTGTGTGTACGTTTGTATAAGTTAGAAGTTGTGAGCACATGTATTAATAAGGTCCATTGGGCAATATCGACTGGCGAACGTTTAGAAAATAGTAGACGGAATAAGAATTATCATGTGGGAGATTGGATAACGTGTACATATAAATAGATTGTTTACGAGTACGTCATGCATCAGTATGTACTATAGACAGTGATGTTGACGAAAATATGGTTTTTATTGTTAGAAAAAAGACGTTCTGTTTAATCGAACGACAATATATAATAGAATGTTATTTGTTCTGTTAACGGAGTTCACACATCTAGTTAATGTTGCATTGGGCAGACGGGTGCTTGAACAAACATATGTATAACCCAAAGCCTTTCATATATAACTGTTGATCTGTTTGTCTGTATGCAATGAATAATTACAATAGTTGAACAAAAGAAATCGTATGTTAATCTAAAAAAGATCATTGCTGAGTGTTTGTGGCGAACGAAATCAGTATATATACCACGATGAGACTTCATATGAATCCGGTCGTAGCTGGTCAAAGAAAGCACAAAATTTCTCTCTGCTGAGGCCTGTGTCTCAGGACAGCTGGACTACCAACACAATGTCTCTGACATTGACTCCAGTTGCTTAATCGTAGTTAGACGCTGTGGTACGTTTTTTTTTGTCAGATTCGATTACCTTTGTTTGGTCAGAGCTTTATTGCTTGAGTCGTTAGTCAGAAAAAATTCTGTGTGTTAAACTGCAAACTACCGTAGCTCAGCGCCTTATTATGACAGTAGACAACAAAACGCACATTGCACTTCGACAGAAGACTACTATTCTATAAGTTACCGCGCAAAACTCCGATGGGTTGTTGTCATGTAGAGAAATGGAGCTGCTTTGTAAAAAGACATGTTAATGTTAAATAAATGAGTACTATGTTGATACGTTTATCCTGACACAGAAACATTAGTATATAATAACAATAGTAATTGTTATTATTGATTCCATTCAACTATAGAAGTCGACGTACATGAGTTACATGACAATTTAGGGGTGACTTGTGGTTCCAGCATGCGAGTCGTCAATCGTATGACTAGACATTGTTGTGTGGTTCTTTTGCTTAGGATAGTGGTACGGAGTACAAAGCAAAGCAGAGTCAGTAAGTAAAATCAAAGTCAGCGTTTCTAGTGCCGCATAGGCCTGGAAATTTGGCAAATGATGGCCCGAAATAGGGGAACTATAGCGCAAGATACCCGTTGAATCTATATTCAACGGGTATCTTGCGCTTCATAGAGATATTCCGCTTTACGATTCTACGCTAGCCGATGCAACTTAGCGGCGCAATTCTAATTTCCTCTCGTCGATGGTTATGAAGTTGTGGTACTGTCCCTTTTCGTATAGTTCAAGCGGCCTGCAATAGTCATTGCGTTACCTTTAGTTACGTACGGACAAAGCAATGAAAGATACGTCAATTGAACATTTCACTGGCAAACAAACGGACGGTATGACAAGGCGGGTAAAAAAGGTTTTTCCAATTAAATCTAAAAGATTTTCCTGATATAAAATGAGAAGACTACTAGCACCGACGGCTCGTTTCTCTAAAAATATTGTACCCCACCTTCAGCTCTATACGAACCAAGCTAATAACGATTTGGCAAAAAACTATGATCAATAGACGTCCTCTACGGAATCTCTAGCGAAATCAGCATTTTCACGAAAATGTAGCTTGGTGTACTACGGTAGGAGCTGACGTCAGTAGCTTAATTCTGTTGCCAAAAATGAGAATAGGTATAGGCTTGTCAAACCTCAAGAGTCCTGGAACACTACCGGGAATTGGTACGGTTTCAAGCGTAATCTTATAATGCTCAAAAATCTTGCTCAAGGGTGATAGAGCATTATGGAAGATTAACAGTTTCGATAGGATTCGATTACTGCGTAGTAATATAATGAGTATGAGCGAATACCGCGCAGAGGCTTCAACTGTCACTTTTATTTTGTGTGAGGTCAGGTGTCGTCCTGCAATAGGAGTGATTTGCTTCTGCTCAATCATTTTGGCTGCTTAATGCAGAATTTTTCATCATCTCTAATGGCCGTAGTTGTAATTAGGACTCATCGAGATGCAGCGGGTAATACGTACGTTAAACTACTAGACAGACATTATAGTGATATACGGAGTTCAGTCGTTCGTAAGCAGTACAATAATCGCAGACAATCACATCAGTGGATGTATGGAATCAGATCGATGGGACATCACCAACCGTATGTACAGTTGCAAAATCCTGAGTGATGTCCGATCGGTTCAAGTTTATAGGCACAATATTGTGATTGTCTGCGATCATTGTAGACGATCCATTTGTCATCACATGTCACAGTTCGATATAAGAATGGGTCACTATTATAACGCAACAGCAAAGACAAGCAAGTCACTCCTCGTTTATTCTTGATCCTCGTTCAAACCATGCGGTACCCATTCATCAGTTTCTTCGACTTCACTAATTTAACCTCGGTTTTTTTCACATACACCGTAGTGTTAGGCCCATGAACTTTCAGGCGGGTCTGCTATTTATCTTTCCAGACAGTAAAGATCGACTCACCACATAAAACAAATACGAGCCCTGTTCGTCTAATTCGAATCAGAACATTGTCAGATCTCGACATCACTTATTAGTTAGGAAGATACGTTTCACTGGCGAATTTCTTGGCGCCGAAAATTGTCACTATAAACCTTGGCTTTGTAGTACTTCTACGTGCTACGACCCCCGAATTGACTGGCCTCCCGGCTTCAGCGGTTCGCCTGTTGTTGTAGTTATGGCGCACAACTGCAATTCTTTCGAGCAGCATCTCATTTTTGTACATGAATTGCATCGAAATGAATTCGTAAATGAATAGCGTTAGAATGTTTCGTGGATCGTGATATATATGCATATATGTCTGTGCTGGGAGAAGGCGTACGCATTAGGTATATTAGAGCATTTTCTTGGCAGCACAGTAACTGTTGCCAATTGCTTCAAGAACCATTAACTCGGGAGGATAAATATAGCAAATCTTATTGCCAACAAAACGGAGCATCTGTACGCTATCATATTCATGTAAAAGCATACCTTTATGAAAAACAAATAAATTGGCCAAAGAGGCCCTATGAAACATCCTACTCCTCTCGCCAACCTGGACTTCTTATGGAACTCCCCTGAAACTGTAATCTACGCCAGAACAGATTGACTTAAACGTTCCGACTGAGCCACTTCGACAACTAAAATGCTCGTTATGGATCAATAGCTCGCCGTTATCAGCAATGTATTGACTAAAACTGTAGTCATTTTTAGCATCTGTGATAAGAGAGAGAATTATATATTTTTTGTAAAGTTTGCAATCCAAATATCAATAGAAAACTGAATTTCAGCACTTCTCCCGAATCAATTGTAATTTAAATTCATTGTCGCTAAGTGATCGTTATCATTATTTCTGATTCTTTGTGCTTAACAGCTCTGATAGTCACATTTTGTCTCGCATTCACGAAAAGAGAAACCTTTGCAAAAAAACTAATTGTCTTCAAATTGACCGCCATCTTTGACACAAGCGCCCAATTGGGACTTTTCACAATAGTTCGCTACTGCATTTAGTTTCAGAGAGCTTGCCCGACCTTTAACGATTGATGGGCGTCTAGCATTTAGCCTGATGAGTCTGAGGCGACAATCTGTTGTTGGACTACAATAAGATAGGCTTGTAAATGCTGCATAGCCCATATGACAGCAACGAGTGCAGCTGCCTCATAAAGACGATAAGTAGACCTGCCATATCTGCGGCCGATCTGAACTATAGACGAATTCCAGATGGGTATAGAAGTCCGTAATGATGGCTTACACAGTAAACATTTTGCAAACAATTTTACTTGTTTAAATAACCTGAAAATGCAACTAGTATATCAATAATAAACCAATAGTGAGGACGGCAAATAGAATAAACGTTAGTATGTTAGCTGCACTCAAGACAAAACTGACTAATCTACGTATATCTGCATGACGTGTATCTATAACATGACAGCGAGTTTACAGAGATTTGGTAAATTATGATCCCTTGACGCAACAGGTTGATTTGACTTAGTGGATTAGTCATATAGGAAAAAGCTAGCATATAATTCATACAATCTCTGATATCACTTCACAGGACATCGGGTGATACGTTATATCATCTTGATATCGTTGGAGAGCAATTTCCATTATCCATTGAAAGGTGTTTTTACTATAATCTACTAAGTTAAAGCACCGGTTCGCTGAGGACGGTCCCTTCTACTACTTCTGGTTTCCCTTTTCAATGCAGTAACCGCTCAGGGCACTAAGCAAGTGGTAACAAAAGGCACGACGACAATCTTCATCGTGTCAGCTGCTACCGCAAGAATCAAGCGAACGTAACTCGCACCATTAAATACCTTTTGCGAAACGTTTACTTCCATTCTTGATGTAAACACAATATGGAGCTTTCCAATTGAAAACTGCAATCACAAAGTTGCCGAGTTAATCCTTTAGATGAATTTATTACGGAGTTGCGACTTTTAATAGCTTTAAATTAATCTATAATAACAAAAACAATGGCTATTCAGTGGCAGATCTTCATTGCTACGAGCAGATGCTCACAATTATAATTATGTTCGTTGTGGTGGCGTGGTGTTTTACTATAGTATTATAAATGGCATATTGTGGGAGCGACTTGTAGTGTTTTTCTGATCTGATCGAATATCCGATCCAATGGACCTACATCAAACGTTGCTATGTAGATAGAATAGTTACGGTAAATCTTTGTCAGGGGCTTATAGTGGAGAACGGATGCCACATTCATAAGTAAGTAATTTTTGGCTGAGTCTGAGTTCCAGGACCTGCTTGAAATTTTTTGTCCCTAAAGTCACACAGCAAACACAACAAAACTGATCATCTTTCCATTTTTATGGTGAATATAGGAAACAAAGATAGAAATTACTTAATTATGATGTTCGATACACATGCATGCATATTACAAATATAACTACATGCAATGACTATATGTACGGAGACGAGACGATTCTGGGATCTCACTCCTCTGTGTTTAAGTATCTGCTACCTTCCCCATCCCATCGGCAATAGTTTTTCACAGGCTTGTAAGACGTTCCTGGCTTCAGAAGAGTTTAGTAAGATCCTTGAGTATAGAGTATCATATGTCGGCTTATTCTATTTTTTTCGAAGGCTTCGACAAGTTATCAATTATCGCATGTAAAACAAAGGAGAGACAGTCTATAGAGACAGAAGTTACTTTAGTAGATTTCATCTATGCAGGCAAATTTTTAATATAAAATAAACACTATTAATACTGCATTGTTCTAGCTCAAATAAAACATTTCCTGCTTTCTTCTAAATGCATGCTCATTGATATTATCATCTGATTCTAAACGGCTCAGCCTCAATCAGCGATCAGTTTCACTTTCAGCGATTTATAGGGGTCCATATAGAAGCCGCGCCGCCGTGCTAAATATCAAAAATCTATATTATGAGTTTAAAATTGTGCTCGTTTCTCTTCATTAGGTTAGCAGATAGAAGAATATTCATTGTATTCAGATATATTATGTTTATGTATATTTGTACTATGTAAATTGTCTAAATTGTGGGCTACCAGTAGTGTAATCCATTTGGCATCGAACTATTATATTTCATTGTGGTAGCAGAGGGTGTACAAAAGCAAATAGATGAAATATCCTAGGACAAGTGTAGGACTTCGAATTCACTTAGCAGTTCTACGTTCTGCGCATTGCACCATCTCATACAAGCTAACTTTCTAGGTAGGATGCCGTGATTTTTTTGATTTCTGCTCAAATGCCCGATGTATTTTATTTCGTCAAATAATCTCAGCTCCGACGTAACGTGGCTTGCGGAAATTTTAAATGTAAGCGATTAGAAAACGTGTTACACGTCTTAATTGAAATCTACAAAGGAGAGAAACAACGCATATGGTAAGCTGAACTTGAATAATTGATAGATATTGTGGTGGGGACTGGAAAAGCTAGGGACCTTACA